TCTTCTTCTTCTTCTTCTTCTTCTTCTTCTTCTTTTTCTATTATTTTTATTATTATTATTAAACACTACATAAAGTATCGTTGCGATCGTTATGTCTTAACATTAAGTCGGATTCTTGGACTAGACATCAAGCGTTGCCTATTGTATTGACTATCGACTCCAGCCTTTATTATATCAAAGTTTGAGTGTAAAAGTGACGTCTAGATTAATTACAAATGATTTTCTTCTTCATTTATGAAGCTATGAAAATGAGCGTAAAAACCGTCTACGTCTAGCCATCCTTTTCCATTTCTTAGTCTGTAGTTTTACCTCTTGAATTAAAAACAGCTAATATGTAGTTTTACCTCTTGAATTAAAAACAGCTTATATGTGGAAATGCGAATTAAAAAAGGGGGAAAAAGCCAAAGAAAAAAAAAAAGAAAGAAAGATTTTCAAACATTGTAAAAACCAAACAAATTAGTATGTGTTTCAATTGAAGGATGTTTATATAGTTAAGTCAATATGCCAAATTTCCCAGCGTTGGGTGGGAGATTTACTAGTAATGACCCTTTCAGTACTAAAAAGACAATTAACGGGCCAATATCTATCGAAACTGCTACAGGCGGAAATTCATTTTTTGAAATTACTTTTGTTATCATATAGATTTTCCTAAAAATAGCACTGATCGAACTGAGTCTAATTAAAAGGTATGACGGAGAGCCTTTAACGATATAATAATTGCGATGGGGAAAAAGATGTTCAAATAGCTTTATTTCATTGCTAACAATCAAAGATTAAAGATTTTTGCCAGTATATTAGAAATAGAATGTGTGTGTATATAGATTAATCACTTCGTGTTGAATTATTGTTTATCAATTGGGAGTTGGAATAATAATTGCATTGTTTGATTCAGTCAATAGAACTATCATCTTGCGAAAAGATATGATTTAGCGACAAACTAATAGCTGTATGTTAATCACTCGATGATTCAATCGTAATTAGTTCTCTAGGAGACTCGGAAACTGTCATTGGCAACTATATCGATTCTTTTACAATAATAAGCCTCACAACCGATTGCCATCTAACATTTGAGTATGAATTTGACTCTGAGAGGGTTATTAAAAATCAAGAATACAGGAAGCTGCTTGTGAACCCACCGACTACTAGTTAAATGTTTTGCTCTTCAGCTGGAAGTTTAACAACATGTTTTCAATAATTTTCTTGGGCTTCTTTGTCTTCTCGACGACTGTTTTCGGTGTTTCTCCTGAATCACAAGCTCGGCAATATTCATCAGATTCCGGTAAGCGGCTATATAATAGCAAAGAATTCTGCTTTTTTAGCATAGATATCATAACTAGATTTTTTCCTTTTTAGCAGTTTTCGACTTGTTTACTGTTTTATCTAAAATCGTAATGGTTAATATTTAGCATATTTTCCTTGTTCGAAATCTAAACCTCTATGAGATGCAGGAGACTATGATTATATTTTTGAAATTTCAAATAAAGGTCTATTTAAGTGTCCTTATGTAATAAAATTTGGAGATTGAAAAGTGTAAAAAATATTTATCAGAATATTTGTTGATCATAAAACTGATTATTTATGAAGCAATATTATTGAAAAATTATTCTAAATACAGAAAAGTCATGAACATATTGATTCCAGAAGATTCGAGAAAAACGGCTTGATTTTAGAAAAGTCAATAGTAAAAAAAATTTTGATTTTCAGACAGTGTAGAACATGGTAAATTGAAAACTCGTAATACAGGTAGTTGGTAATAAACGTTTGAACGCACAAATATCAAATAAAATAATATTACAAATCTAAACATTACAAACAAGCACAGTTGAACCAAAAGCAAATGTATGGATAATTTATTTGATGGTCTATATACACCAAGAAAGTACAGTGTACTGTTGAATTAGAATAAGATAATTTATGAGTATGTGTAAGGAGATAAATCAGGCTCGTACTGAATAGGAAAGTGTCATTCTCAGCGGGGTTTCTAAACCTTCATCTGGAATACTAAAACATCATGTAAGTTTATTTTAATTTCAGATCAAAATATGTCCTTCATAATGAAATATTATGATACAAATACAGCTATTTCAAAAAAAAAAAAAAAAAAAAAAGGTTGAAGGGGCGAAAGTCGCGGCGATACGTAATGCCATAGGCGATAAGTAATAGGAGAATAGAGGTGATTCCAAGGTGCAAGAGTAGCTGGAATGACTTGTATTTCTTATAATTATTCTTGTCAAAACACAGATGATGATGTTGAGATATTTAGTATATGTTTTGTAGTCGACAAAACCATTTAAAACACCTCGATTGTTCGTGTTTGGATGTATTCCCGCTGTGCCTTTCGGTCGTGCAATCGCCAATCACTAATAGCCATTTACTGTTCTTCCCTTCGACGTGATTTTAAATAGCTTTATTAATTTCTAGTAGAACGGGCTTAACTTTATTAATTTGGCTTTTTTTTTTAGCAAAAAAAAATTTTCTTTCCCATTTCTCGTTTTTTAAAATAGTTTTTTTTTAATAATTTTTTTTAGAGGAGGAATTTTAGTTGTTTGTTCTAAAAAATGATTAACGATGCCCTGTAGTAGTGACATTTAGGTCTGGTAAGCCAACAATAGCCTAGCAACCTTATCAAACGACAGTTTTTTYCCTCGAATCTTCAAAAAAGTATAATTAATAAATGTTACATAACATGATGACGGTTTATTTAACGTTATTATTTATTTTTCTACAATGAACATAGCAACAACTTTATTTGCACTCTTATTCTTCGTTTGCACGTTACGTCATTGCGGCCATAGGGAATGCTTGCAACCCATCAATTGTGAATTTGAAATGTCCAGAATAATTCTTAACACCTCCCCTTAAAGTCATAAAAAATACGATCTCCCCTAAGCAAGGCTTGTAGCTTTTTCCAAAAATTGTGCATCCCCCCTTTTTCTGATAAAAATTTGCCCATACCCCTTTTTCCTACAAAAAAATACCCCCCTCCCGATCCCCCCTCGGTCGAGTTGGCGTTGCAGTGCATTATGGGTCTGTTCTATATTTCCAAGATGGCGTCTATTTGGTCCCCTAAAACAGTCCCACAATGCACTGCAATGCCAAATCGATCCACTTTTTTCCTCATCCACGGAGCAGTTCAGTTCAGCATTCTTGCTTTGCTTTTTTAATTAATGACTAATTCTATTGTAAGAGATGGTATATATTTCGATATGTATTGCGTTCAAAGAATTTTTTTCTTAATATATCTTTACTATAACTAACTTGGCGGTCGGCGACCGAATTAACTTAAGAAGGTTTGGAAATTTATCTGAAATCTGAAATAACCCCGAGTAAGCCAAATGTATAAATAAAAAGGTCTTTTTCTTTGCAGACTGCAAAGACACCTCTCCCCATTGCCGATATTGGTTTCTGAATAATCCAAAATTTGACTGTGGTATTTATGGCCCAAGCATTTGCAAAAAGTTCTGTGGATACTGCAGTAGTATAGGTAAGTAATGACGAGTCATCTATCCCTCCATCCCTCCATCCCTCCATCCCTCCATCCCTCCATCCCTCCATCCCTCC